AAAAAAAAAAAAAAAAAAAAGAAAGAAAGAAAGAAAAGAAAACATTTTGATCAATACTATAAGTAGCACTTAACATAATATTTATGCGTCGCTTGGAAACCTTTTCTTTTTGCAAAACTATATTTCAAAGGATAGAACAGTCATGGTACAAAAACGTTTATTTAAATTAAATATTTTCAACAAATTAATATTGACAACTGTTCCAAAGTATGTGTTGTTTTTTCAAAAAAATGGAACAGTTGAGCTTAGCTTAATGTCTGTGATACTGTTTTATGAGACTATTAACACATGCTCTGGACTGCACGCCAGTCAATCACATCATCAACAGTGTACTATTTATTACCAAATGGCATATACAGTAATAGCATAAAGAGTAATCATATCTTATAAGTGATTTCACAATAGGACATCTTGGAAGGACAAAAAGGATCTATCAACAATACAAAACAAGGCAAAAATAATAGGAGATTATATAAAACATATTTCATACAGGAAATAATATGCTAAAATAAAAAAAACAACTGTCTTTCAGCACACTGTTATGCATGCTCCTTCAAAGGGGGTTTGGGGGAACATGAAAATGTTTTGGGGGCAGGGGTCCAGGGCTCAGAAACATTTTTTGAATCACAGTGAGTTTCTGATTTGGGCGAAGTTGCTCTAAAGCACTGGCTGAGGACTTTGCCTGAGGACCTGGCTGGCAAGGAAAACAAATTCTCATTGCAGCTAGAGGAAGCATGCTTGGGCTTTTAAGTCAGGGGCTGTTTGAGTTAGGGACTAGTTCAGCAGTGGAGGAACAGCAGGAAGAAGAGAAAAAGAAACCCCGGAAAAGTGAGTAAAGAAGCTGAAGACAGCCGGGAAGGAAGCACCTCTTGAATCTGCAGAGGGAAAGTGTGTATCCGGATTTGAAGGCAGTGACTTTGCTTGGTTGCAAAGTCCTTTTAGGTACCTGGGCTTTTTGGGTCATTAAGAACAGGGAGTTGGCAAGAAGCTGTCATTGTTAATAAAAACATCTGATTTATTTAGACTTTGAGTTTAAGGGTTGTATGAAGTGGGCATGTGTCTCTCACACTCAATATATTTCGACTGTGCATATTCTTCTTTTCTTTTCTTTTTTATTTCTGAGTTGGAGTTTCACTCTTGTTGCCCAGGCTGGAGTGCAGTGGTGCAATCTTGGCTCACTGCAACCTCCACCTCCTAAGTTCAAGAGATTCTCCTGCCTCAGCCTCCCAAGTAGCTGGGATTACAAGCATGTACCACCACGCCCAGCTAATTCAGTTTTTT